CAGAAGTCTCAGGTTTCCAACTAAACAGCATTTTACAGATTTAAGATAAAATGTGTGTAGCTCTAGAAATAATATTAACCTTTAATCCTTTTCTGCTCCTTCTAATGAAAACTGAATTTTGTTTTAAATAATTGTTGATCTTGCAGCAGTTTTTAGGCGTTCAGGAGTCCTCCAGCGTTGACTGTTCACCTCTGACCCTGGTCACGTGGCTCAGAGGTGTGTAGGAGGCTTTCAGCTGCTCGTATGTGCAGCATGTGTGATATTAAATATATATGCTTTCAAACGTAAACACGACACCTCAGCAGCAGAGGGATGAGCCCGACTGTCCCAGCCAGCGTCCGCCGCCCGCTCCCGTTACATTCCTCGTCTTTCAGAGCGTGGATCAGTTTTCCTGAGCGCTGACAGCCGGCTGCTTCGTCACAACAGCAGACACAATGGTGAGATAACGTCCCGCTGAAGCTTCACGCTGTCGTCCAGATTTCTGTTAATGCTGTTCCTGCTTTCATTGCAGGCAAAGTTCCTGACTCAGGATCAGATTAACGGTAAGAGCCTCGCTGTCCTGACACGGCTGCTTCCTGCTGGAACTTAAACTGATGCTTTCAGATGACGAAGCGTCGACTGTGATGGTCTCTGTGCAGCAGGCAGCAGGACTTTAATCAGACAGAAGAGTTTTGTGTGGCCGCTGCGGCACAAAGCAGCGCTTGTTCCAGTTCAGCTGACCTCCCTGACCCGCTGACGCGATCAGACAGCGAGGGTCCGAGCGCAGTGTTTGCTAATGAGGATCCAAACACTTGTGTTTGGTGGTTTCTCATCTGCCGTCAGGGCTTCCCACGGGACACAAGTTTATTCTGACACAGGCGAACACACACAGATGCAGCTTTTATTCGCTTATTTACACTCGTTTATTCCCCACGGCTCAGTGTAGTGTTTTCAGCAAACTTAGTGTCTGTGTGGATGACAGTCGAATCAGCTGGGATGAGTCATTAAAAGATGAAGATCGTGAGATTTCCCTGATGTTCCAAACACAACGATGGAAAGAGAAGAAGTGGCTTTTCTTGTTTGAGTTGTTGAAATCATTAAAATGGCTTTAAGTGTCAAACAGTTTGACAGGATGGAAGAGTGGAAATATCTCAGCTGAGGTCACAGGATGTGTTCTCGATGTGCATCCAGCCTGTGAAAGCCAAAAGTCCCAAGAGCTCCATCTCAGACTCTGCAGACCTCAGTTAGCAGGTTAAAGGTTAAAATCTGTGACAGCGCAGCTAGAAACAGACTGAACAACCATGAGCTCCTCTGTAGAGTCAGTGTGAGGCTGTGTCCCACAGCTGAAGCTCGGACCAAACCGGGTCATCAACAGGACAAAGATCCCAGCACAGCAGCAGGTCTGCAACAGAACGACTGAAGAAGAGAAGAACGGAGCTGCTGCAGAGCTCAGAGAGCTGTGCATGAACGAATGCTGCAAACCTCAATGAGGCGACGCAACTAAAACTCCTCTACAGTGATGAGCAGATAAAGACATCACTGCACGTTATTGGTGCTAAAACAGGTTCTTCAGCTGGAGTGAATGCAGAGTCCTGTGCAGCACGGCTGTGTATTACATAGCATCTACAGTGGCTTACAAAAGTATTCGAACTTTCCCACATTTTGTCACATTACAGCCACAAACATGAATCATTGTTATTGGACTTCCAGGTGAAAGACCAACACAAAGTGGTGAACACGTGAGAAGTGGAACGAAAATCAGACATGATTCCAAACATTTGTTACAAATAAATAACTGCAAAGTGGGGTGTGTGTAATTATTCAGCCCCCTGAGTCAATACTTTCTAGAACCAGCTTTTGCTGCAGTTCCAGCTGCCAGTCTTTTAGGGTCTGTCTCTACCAGCTTTGCACATCTACAGACTGAAATCTTTGCCCATTCTTCTTTGAAACAGCTCCAGCTCAGTCAGATTAGCTTTCTTGGCTTTCATGGCTTTCTTCTTGCCACTCTTCCATAAAGGCCAACTTTGTGCAGTGCACGACTAATAGTTGTCCTATGGACAGATTCCCCCACCTGAGCTGTAGATCTCTGCAGCTCGTCCAGAGTCACCATGGGCCTCTTGGCTGCTGTGAGTTTAGGTGGACGGCCTTGTCTTGGTAGGTTTCCAGTTGTGCCATACTCCTTCCATTTCTGAATGATGGCTTGAACAGAGCTCCGTGGATGTTCAAGGCTTGGGAAATCTTTGTGTAGCCTAAGCCTGCTTTAAATGTCTCAGTAACTTTATCCCTGACCTGTCTGCTGTGTTCTTTGGACTTCATGGTGTTGTTGCTCCCAATATTCACTTAGACAACCTCTGAGGCGTCACAGAGCAGCTGTATTTGTACTGACATTAGATCACACACAGGTGCATGTTGCAGGTTCATGTTTGTGGCTGTAATGTGACAAAATGTGGGAAAGTTCAAATACTTTTGCAAGACACTGTAGTAGGTGAACAGATGTAACCTTGGTACAGAAAGATAACGGCGCCTTTGAGGCTCATTTGCAGCAGATGGGACGTGCACGCGTGTCCGATCGGTCTCACTGCCTCTGTGAGCTGTGAGTGAAGTTTAACACGTTTGTCTCAGGACTGAAGGCTGAAGTTGCTCCTTAGTTTCCTTTGCACCTTGATAGGTGACGCACTCAGGCTGAGGCCTGCTGACGTCACCGATCCCGCTCTGTCCACATGACTGATGCAGCAACAATGTGGACTCCTGCACATGTGTGTAACCTGTTCATGTGTCCGCAGAGTTTAAGGAGTGTTTCTCGCTGTACGACCGCCAGCGGAAAGGCAAGATCGAAGCCAAGGAGCTGATAACAGTGATGCGATGCCTGGGGTCGAGCCCCACCCCCTCCGAGGTCCAGCGCCACCTCCTGAGCCACAACATGGGTAGAGTATTCCTGAAATCCTCCTTCCGACTCCTTATTTCTGATTTCTGAGGTGACGCAGTAATAACTCAAATCAGGGAAAGTGCTAAGCTACCTCACAGCCACACTCTTTACATTTGCTTTTATTGCTTTAATGTTTGCTCATTTCATACACATTGAGTGCTACTCTCTCCTCCTGCCAGTAAAAGCAGATCTGTTTTCTTTCTGCTCACAGCCCGGGAAGGAGAGCTGGACTTCTCCACCTTCCTGAGCATCATGCACCGGCAGCTCCAGCAGGAGGCGCCAGAGCAGGAGATTTTGGAGGCCATGAGGATGGCCGACAAGGAGCAGAAAGGCTTCATCCTGGCCTCTGAGCTGCGAGCCAAACTCACCGGGCTGGGAGAGAAACTGACGGACAAAGAGGGTGAGTGTCTCCTAAAACCACTCACATTTAACCCTCTCAAGGCCGGCGTTGCAGATTTGCAACAGTTAAACGCTAACAACCTGATTACCCCACATACATATTTTACGAGTTTTTTTACTCAGAAGTACCACTGCAGGTATTCTTTTGTGCATTAGCAACAAAAACTTAATCCAGTCGCCTCAAGATGCTTTATATTGTAAGGTCGACCCTACAATAATACATACAGAGAAAAACCCAACAATCATATGACCCCCTATGAGCAGCACTTTGGCGACAGTGGGAAGGAAAAACTCCCTTTTAACAGGAAGAAACCTCCAGCAGAACCAGGCTCAGGGAGGGGCGGGGCCATCTGCTGTGAGATAAGGAAGACAGGACAAAGACATGCTTTTGACAACCTAATGAGCAGAGATCAAAAGTGGAAGTGAAGGCAGCAAAGTTACTGCTCATCGAGCTCTGCAGTTTTCAGCATTTCAGACTTTTAATCCATTTCTACACAGAAGTTGGTTACAGTGAAAACTGAGCTCTGCAACATCACAAACCAACAACTCAGCATTTTGCTTCTTTGTTGCCCACAGATGGCTGAGTGAGATTGTTTCTGTAGACTTTAATACCTGAAGCCTCACGTAGCAAGAACAACGCGTGCTGTTATGCATGTGGAATGAACACGAGGAGTGTAGGAGCCATGTGAGTTGTTCCTGTTTTGATTAAGTGGGTTGGTTTAAATGCACTCACTGTACTGGTGCACGGGTGTGGGGCGTGATAAAGGTGGTTGCACTCACCTGTTCACCGCACCTGATGTTGATGAGCAGAAAAGTAGGGTGAGCATGAGGGGAAACCTTCTGTTGACCGCAGCTTGAATTATTTTGATGCATTTTGACTGTAACTTGATGTTTGGTTTATGCCACAGGCCAATGTTGTAGTTTGGTGTAGCAATTGGGGGAATTTTTTGTGAGTTGCAGTTATTTTGTTTGTGCAGTCTGTGCATTTGTTTAATAGTTTGATCCCATGTGCTGATTCGTATAGTGGACAGTACCATGTGGAATAAAAGGAGCAAATAGTACAGAAGTACATCTCATGTGTTTCCTGTTGCGCGTCATCTGTGTCCTCATGTTTAGCCTGCTGCAGCCGTTGGTTGGAGGAGCCGCAACAAGGAGGTTCATAATATTTTGTGTTCTTCTCCACATCCTGCAGGGTTTTGGTTTGCACTCGTCTGATTGGTTCCCATTCTCCACTTTAACTGTTGATAAAAGGTCGTTTATATCAGAACATGTCATTCCCCCGAGGACGCGTCTAATCCATCTGAATGATTGTGTCGTTTCCAGAGAGGGAACACCTTACACTAATCGATCCTTCTTTGTTTCTGTTGCGTTCATCATTACTGAAACAAACTGGCTGCATCTCTGTTTAAATGACTGGCCTGTTAGTAGTACATCCACCAAGTCACTGACGGGTCAAAAAAGTGCTAAAATGCAATTTAACTTAAAAAAATGCTAATAGTTATTGAAACGTTTAATATAAAAACTACAGAAATGGCTGGTTTAGTTTAAGTTCAGTCGGTCTTATTGGTAATTAAAGTATTTTATGTCATCATGTCTTGATCTGAGTAGCTCTCTGAGGCTCTCTAAAGAGAAGGTTGAGAAACTGGAAAGAGATTTAAAAATGCTCCCAATCATTAGAAATCGATGAGTCCACTGTAAGAACAGTCGTGTGGAAATGACTGCAGAGTCGTCCAGGACCATTGACCCGACTGAGGAGAGCATGTTTTGTGATACTTCAAATAAAAACGAAACAAATGAAGCCTGTCCTCGTTTAGAAGAATATTACTGCAAAACTATTTTGCACTGAGCACACTGTGCTTTCAAAGAGCCGCCTTTCTGGAAGAAAGCGCTCTGCATGACTAATTAAAAAGACTTGTTTGGCTGAAACAGACCATCGATGTTTTTAGTGCAGACTAAAGGCGCTGAAATCCAAAAACAACTGTGGAGCCCGATGGAAGAAATGCTCTTTCATATCAAAGAGTGCTTGAAGCTAGCGTGAGGGTATCTGTCCGAAAGTTAAAACAAAAGTCCAAGTTTGAAAGTTATAATGATGCTCAGCACGCTAACAAATACACCAAGGAATGGCTCAGAAAGAAGAGATGGAGGTTATGAAACACCAAGAGCCCCAAAATCCCACCGAGGGAAGAAAAAGACATCATAGAAAGCCTTCAAATACTTTTTGTAACTGATGAATTTGGAGGACTTCAGCATTTCTGATGCCTGGCTGTGCTGTTACTTTTTGAACAGAATATTACATTATTCCATAAATAAAGTAGCAGCTTCAGTTTCTCCTGTAGTGACTCAAAACTCAATGATAGGATCTATTACTCAATGTCAAACATATGTTGTGTAGCACTTTGCAAAAATCTCGAGCTGCTCTTCATGTGTTTACATCCATGTAGGTTCACAGTCATTCAGGTCCTGGAGCTGGAAAAAAGGAAACAGGACGTCCTTTAGTTTGTGAAGACTTCGGCTTTATCAAGAGGCTGTTTGGTGTCTCCAGTGTCTGAGCACTCCTCACTGCACTGACACGACGTTGTTTAGCTTGTGTCTGAGTGTGTAGCGTGGTCTGAAGTACACTGGGATGTTGAGATTCTCCTGAGTTTCTCTGATAACCTGCTACATCAGGGATGAAGTGTTGTTCTCCATAGCTGGTGTCTGATCTTCTTTTTTCTGCATCTTTGCTGATTTGATGAGAACCACAAGTTACACATGCTTCCTTTACGTGTGCGTACACCAGGCGAACATGTTCTGCCTGGTGTTGTTGGGTCGTGTTACTCCAAGTCTGTTCCAGAGGGTGATGGGAGTCAGAGAGGAGGTACTGGTCCGTGTGTGTGGGCTTCCGTAAACTTCAGTGTTGAGCTTTCCATTGTCCTCAGTGTTCATGGCACTGTTATCTTTGTCTTCCCTGGTGTACTTGATGTTTCTATCCACTTCTTGGGTTTTGATTTTGACCCAGGTGTCGTCCATGTATCGGTATCATCGGCTAGGTGCTGCCCCTTCCTGCATGTAAACGACGGGCGATCGTGGCTCAAGAGTTGGGAGTTCGTCTTGTAATCAGAAGGTTGCCCGTTTGAGCTCCGGCTCGGACAGCCTCGGCCGTTGTGTCCTTGGGCAAGACACTTCACCTACCGCCTACTGGTGGTGGTCAGAGGGCCTGGTGGCGCCAATGTCCAGCAGCCTCGCCTGTCAGTGCGCCCCAGGGTGGCTGTGGCTACAACTGTAGCCTCCACCAGTGTGTGAATGGGTGGATGACTGGTTATGTAAAGCACTTTGGGGTCCTTAGGGACTAGTAAAGCGCTATATAAATACAGCCATTTACCATTTTAAAGGTTGGACACACCAGGGAGCCCAAAACCCTCGCTGTACATGTGTGGAGGTAAGGCAGAGGTGTAGCAGTGTGCAGGTCGGATCAGGGTGAAGCTGGTTCTGGTGTCTGTCTGCAGTTGTTTCCTGACAGTCTCTGCTGCCTCGGTTGTAGAGATACAAGACTGAGACCACATCAGAGGACACAATGGTTTCATCTGGATCCAGTGCGAGTTTCTGGACCTTGTTGGTAGAGTTGGTGGGGAGCTAGCATGGTGGCAAGGTTGAGTTTATACTGATAGCCTGTCAACCGCCATCATGTGGGACCTGTGAAATTCTCTGTAAAGGGTTTTAATGAGAACTTTATTTAAAGAAATGGGAATCTAATTTACATCATTTTATTCAGGACAACCTAAATGATCAGAATAAATCTGCTTCCTTCACACGCTTATGGCCCTGAAACAGAATATAAAACTAAATATCAGAATTTGCTTCTAATTACAGACAAAGGCTGATGATTGGATTGCTTTTCTAGAACTGGAGCTGCTGACAGGAAGAAGAACGGATACACACTTTCTACAGGTTTCTATTACATCTGGAACAAATGAGTTAACTGTGATTGACAGCTGTGTCTGTGTTTTCAGTGGACGAGCTGCTGCAGGAGGCGGGTGTTGGAGCAGATGGGCGGGTCCACTGCGAGCAGTTCGCTAAAGTGGCGACGCGCTGCCACACAAAGCACTGACGTCACAACTGACATCATCGCTGAGGTCGAAAACAACGTGCTCAAGCGTCTCCACGTAGAGTGTAGATAAAGTCAGACGTTTGGGGGCTGGTCCGTCTTTCACTGCAGGTGCAAACTTTGCATGTGACAAATAAAAGGCTTGACTGCTGGAAGAGCAGCCTTCTTCTTTTTATTAGAAGAGAAAGAAAACAAAGGGACCATCTGATGTACAACACAAAAATAAAACCTTTTGTTCAGAACATACTGCCTCCTTTGATTATTGTTGCTATACTATAGTTACTACTATAGTTTTACTTTAACTTTACATGAACTAGCAGCCAAGTGTCTCATCGTAGGCAAGGCAAGTTTATTTGTATAGCACAATTCAACAACAACAAAGTGCTTTACAGATATATTAGAAACAAAAACAATGATTTAAAATTGATTAAAACAAGCTAACAAACAAACAAACCGGTATATAAAATCAAAACAGATAAAATCAGTAGTTAAAATGTAAGTTTTGAAATTTAAGCTTAAGTGCAGATTTGGTGTTTTATTCAAATGCAGCTGAGAACAGGTGAGTCTTCAACCTGGATTTAAATAAACTGAGTGTTTCAGCTGATCTGAGGCTTTCTGGGAGTTTGTTCCAGATATAAGGAGCATAAAAGCTGAATGCAGCTTCTCCGTGTCTGGTTCTGACTCTGGGAACTGATAAAAGACCGGATCCAGATGACCTGAGGGATCTGGAAGGTTCATACTGGGTCAGGAGGTCGTAGAGACCATCACCATCATCATCATCTCAGGTTGCTGTGTTTGCACAAACTGACATCAGTCAGAGGAGAGTCTGTTCCCTCACTCGGGGAGTTCCTGCTCTTACACAGGAACTGGAACTGGGATGGTAAAACTGACACCTCATTAACTCCTTTCATTTCACTTTTATCAGTTTTCCCAATTTATTATAATTTTTTGTAACTACAAGTTACTCAAAATAGTTTAAAATTGGAACAAACAAAGAGTTGATTCGTTGGGGACAAAGAGAGTGAGTCCGCTGCCAGACTGATGCCGTCAAACTTACAGATGGTGTGTTGCACATTTTCCACGAGGACCTGGGAGAAAAAAACCAACAACTGGAAAATAAACAATGACACTTTGGTAATCCGATCTGTGGAGGCGTGGACGCTGAGGGTGTGCTGTGGTATCTGCACCGACAGATACTTTACCTCCTGTAAGCTGTGAGGTTTTTGTCCTGCACGATTGGACTGAGCCCCGGGAATCTGGACACTTCTTCTAACATCAACTCTGAGGTTCTTGCTCCCTGACACCTGCAAACAGGATGGAGAGATAATCAGTGCATTCACTTCACCTGTCACTGTATCCACTCTAAAAATAAATATAAATGAAACTGATGTCAGCAGCCTTCACCTGTCAGGAGAGGCTGGCCGACGATGGCACCAAACCCCAAATTTCAGTCTGAGAATAACTCAGAGCTCCAGACCTGAACCAGAGCAGCACAGCTGGATTATGTAAAAGTGAGTGATCAGGTGACACTGGTGCAGAAAAGTCAAGAAGCTGCAAACAGGCTGTCAGGAGATGATGATGAGCAGAGTGACTTTGATTGATATTTTGTAAAGATATCGAGACGTTTAATAGGCCGACATCAAAGAGAGACGACAAACATCAGCTGTGTGATCATTTCTCATGTCAGCATCAAATGAAGAGGATGATGAGGCACGAAACAGAAAACCTTTTCATCTTTTCGTGTATTTATTTTTAAAAAGAAAAACTAAATGGAGTCAAGCTGGAGGATTATTCCGCTCAGAGGAAGTTATTCCATTCGATGTCTCTATCCTGGACTGCCCCCTGATTCTGTTTTATTTTAAGACTTTATCAGTTAATCAGCATCGATTCAGCCAGAGTTTAATCGTCAGAGGAACATCTGTAACAGGGACGTGAAGTCGGCTCTGAACGTGAGAACGTGAGGTCCTGGAAACAGCTGACAGAGAGGACGCCTCTGTTTGTACGGCTGGAGTTACTCGGGCTGCCTGTTTCAGTATTTCTGTAACACCAGCACACAAAGTGAACTTGCCTGATGTTATAACTGCTTATTGGTCTTGACTCACATTTTTGACACTATAAAGTTCTTTTACAGGCACAACGAGCCGAAAAAGACAAGAAACTCAGAGGGAGAAATCTGGGAATATCAGAGACAGGCAGAAGAAAGCGATTTGGATCAGAGAGCAGGATGTAGCTGAGCTGAGTCGTCTGGCTGCCAGATGCCAGCAGGCTGATGCAGACGGATGAGCGAGGCAGATTACTGAGGATCGGTGTTAAGGAGGTCGAGGGGTGCAGGAAGTGGGTTACAATCAGACAAACAGATCCTTTAATTGGTTATTTGGTCAAAGTGGAGCAGAAGCCGGGGCAGGTATGACAGGCTGCAGGCTGATTGGACGTCAGGTGCTGAGTGAGGGATTAAAGGAGAAGAACACAGCATAAAGATAACAAAGTATTGGAACATAAACCAAACAGTATTTAAGCTGTTTTGTCGTACGGTGATGTCAGACAGACGGCAGGTTTCGGTACATTGTTGCTTGTTTTTTCCCACATCACGGTGTGTTTGTGAACAGGAAGTCCTTCAGGATTTAAATCCTGACAAAGAAAGATTTCTGTGAAAAAAGCAGTGAAACTCAAACACTGGAGGAAGTGCAGCTTTTGCTGCTTTACGTCTGCACCCTGGAGGTTGGTGCTCGGTGATCAAAGGCTAATTCAGCTGTGACACAGTCCCAGACTCGGTGCTCTTTGCTCCTCAGGATAATATTCCACACTAAACCGTCCTGTCATTTCCTGTTAGCAGAGTTTCATGTATGGAAAACCCATCAGCCATGTTTGGCTGCAGTCGAGACAAACCTGCGTCCTCTCGTAATTCACAGTGACACTTCTTACAGCGTTATATAATCTCTGGAGGAGGACACAGGTTTAAAAGCATTGCTCTGTCAGAGTCCAGGTTTGTGACGGATGTTTGGATGACGGCACTCGGCTCATGCTGCAGTCACCGGACGGCGCAGGTTTGTAGAATGGAGTAAATTACTGTAGTTAATTAGACGGACTTTTCCCAGCAGATCTGCCCAGATGTCCGTCTTCCATCTACCTGCTCCAGGTGTTTGTGCCTGAGTCTTCCCAGGAGCTTTGCTGTTGGCGCCGTTTGCCCCTGGTTGGGTCTACAAAGCCAAATCAGTCCTGGGTGAGGGGCTAGCCTAAGCATAGCTCACATGAATACTAGTCTGTGGATCAGGGTCCCACACTGCAGCCAGGCCCAGAGGAGCAGCTGGTCCTCAGGTTTCTGATCTGTTATTGGAAGAGTGCGCTGCACAGCTGCACAGAGTCGAGACGCAGTTTCAGTGTGAAGAAAACACGTCTTGGTTCACTGATAAATGATGAACTTGCTCCCTCAGCACAGGCATCGAGTGATGCATGAACAAAACTGTTTCCCAGCACTTTCAGTTATTTTGGTCTCGGACTGAGATCCATTTATTTTTGCTGATGTTCACCAGCTGCTCAGCTGTCACACTGCAGCACGTGGTGCACACAGCTGTGGTCACTCATCGTGGGCATCAATGTCATTTTTTTAATGATTTCTTTGAGCAGATCTTTTTTCAGGGTTCGTTTAGATTAGTTGGTTTCCTGGACCCGACTTTAAGTGTAGTCCATAAACTTTTGAAAAGACAGAAGCTTAATGCTAAGCTGCTTTATCCAAAACCAGTTCTGATGTGTGTTTGGGATCATTGTCCTGCTGGAACACCCGACTGTGTCCACGTTTCACCGTCCAGCTGCTGATCTGAGGTGTAATTGAAGATTTTGGAGTCCGTCCTCGTTCATCACTCCAGAACCACGGCCCAGAGCGTGATGCTACCACCGCCATGCGTCACAGCTGCAGTGTTCTCAGGGTGGAAAGCCTCACCTTTGCTCCTCCAATCAGCTCCACCTTTGTCTCGTCTGACCATCAAACTTTTGGCTCGTCCCCGTGAGCTCGTTGATTTTGGAGCAGGAGCTTCTTTCTTAGTCCGTCCATGGAGATGTGAGACTGGCTTCACTGTGGAAGTGACACTGTGACGGTGTGACAGTTTTTTGTCTTCTTCCTTTCATAAAGTGGCACATCTGAATAACTTTTCAGAAATGATTCACAGACCTTCACAACTTGTGGAAATGTGCAGTTCATCTTCTTAGAACGACTCCAAGAACCTCAGAGAAGATCCGAGTCATTCTGACGAGTGTTGTCAAACTTTTAATTTAAAGTGTCAACCACGATCAGCTACGAGAAGCTAACAGACACCGTAGAACCTTCAGCTCCATTTATTAAAGATTAAAGTGAGTGTTTGTAAATATTTGAGCCTGTTTGCGTTTGACCAGCAACTTCTTGTTTGTCATTAAAGATGTATACTGTACAATCATTCCACCCTGGAAGGAGAAAACTTTAACTCTGCAGCGAGGTCTCACAGCAGCAGTCTGCAGGTTTTCACCAGCTTGTCTTCATGAATATTCTCAGCTATGTCTCTGCCGTGGTCACAGAACAGTTATTACAGTGTAATAACAGACAACTTGCACATTACATTCATCTGAAACATTACATGCAAAGAAGAACGCAATACGGAGCCTTTTATCCAGTGACGTCAGCGTGACGCAACTGTTTCCAAATACGACCCAAATATCTGCACAAAGGTCATCACTGTGTGTTACTGTTAGCATGTTAGCATGTTAGCATGTTAGCACGTGGCACAGGCGTCAGTGCGCTGAACAATAAAGTGTCTGTCAGGTGATCAGAGCATCTTCTGCTCTGTTGCTCCAGAAGCAGCAAATCCTGATAAAGTGCCCCTCCCTCACCCCCCTCACCTCCTCACCTCCCTCACCTCCCTCACCCGCCTCACCTCCCTACCTCCTTGCCTCCCTCACCCGCCTCGCCTCCCTCACCCCCTCACCCGCCTCACTTCCCTCACCCGCCTCACCTCCCTCACCTGCCTCACCCGCTC